ACACTTTTTAGTGTATTTTTATCACTAACAACTCAAAGGTTAGTCAAGAAATAAAGCATTTGTCTAAGAATTCTATAATCTTCTTAGATGTCTTGAGCACTTGGAAAGAGAAAAACTATATAATCTATGTGGGATAATATAGCTTTTATTTTGTCATTGAGACAGAATGAGACCTCTATATTACATGATTTGAAAATGCCTTTCCCTCAAAGAAGTCAGTAATGTGCAAATTCTGTTAAAATGTTAACACTTTTTTAAGTGTTAAAAAGAGGCGATAGGGGCCGGCCGAGTGGCACGTTGGTTAAGAGCTGGCTTGGGACACCAGAGGGCGCCAGTTCAGATCCCACATATGAGGGCCAGTGACACTGCCCTCTACAGCTAAGATGCTGAACAACAGCTCAACCTGGAGCTGGGCTGCCATGGGTCGCCGGTGACGGCATAGGCTGCAGCCCCTGCTGCAGTGGGCTGCCATGGGCTATTGTGTGTAGCCAGCAGCCAGCGTGAGTGGCCAGCAGCTGCCGTGAGCAGCTGTCCAGAAGCCGGCAACTGATCTGCCTAGCCCAGGAAGAGCACAATGATGGTGCCAACTTGGGCCAGTGAAACAACGTTCTCCACAACTAGACTGAAGAACAAAAGGACAGCAACTTGTCTGTTCCCCTTCCCCCAATTTCCCAATTAAAAAAAAAATCTTTAAAAAAAAAAAAGAGGAGATAGGGGGCCGGCCGAATGGCGCGTTGGTTAAGAGTTGGCTTGGGACACCAGCTCTGAGCAGCAGGGCCTCTGTTCAGATCCCACATGAGGGCCAGTGACTCTGTGCCCTCTACAGCTAAGATGGTGAACAACAGCTCAACCTGGAGCTGGGCTGCCCTGAGTCGCTGGTGACGGCGTAGGCTGCAGTGGGGCTGGCCCACAGCTGGCGTGAGCTTTCGTGAGCTTTTGTGAGCAGCCGTCCAATGGCCGGCGGGCAACTGCCTCACCCATGAAGAACGTAGTGATCACAATACCAACATGGGCCAGTGAAGCAACGTCCTCCACATCTAGACTGAAGAACAAAAGGACAGCAACTTGTCTGTTCCCCTTCCCCAATTCCTCAACGCTTTTCCCCTCCCCCAACTCCCCAATAAAATCTTTAAAAAAAAAAAAAGGAGATAGGTATTATGAAAGTTTTCTCATCATTCATGACTATTTCATTTCAAAACAATGTTAAGTACAAAGCAGGATATGTAGTAGTTACATTAAATTTATGTCTATAATATCTATATGCAATAATGTCATTATTCTTGGTTTCTCTATAGAATTTGGCATTACTGAGCATTCTCTCTTTGGAGCCCTCATCTTATGGCTTCCATGTCACCCATCTCCCCACCCCCATCTCCCCTTCCTTTGTCTTCTTCATTAGCTCTTCATATCATACCCTAAATATGAGTGTTTCCCAGGGTTCAGCTCTAGGGCCTTTTGTGTGAATCTCATGTAATTTCTTCCTTGAGCTTAACTGGTGAGTTTCAATGGTGCTCCAGAGCCCTAAGATTTCTCAGAATTGTCTCAGGAGCTGCTGAGGAAGGTTACTAAAAGATGGCTTTCCCCACCTTTAAAGTAGAACAGCCTTATCTCTACATTTTTTGTATATTGGAGTTTCATGTAAGATTTTATTTGAAAAAGGAAGACATTGCTGCTGATAAAAATACACACATATATGTAGTGAGAGGGAAAACTCAAACACCATCGACTTAAATTTCTCCTGTAGGAATGACACCCAAGTTAATCCCTCTGATCTTTCATCTCAGAACCAATCTTGGGCTTTCTTTTCTGCGTTGGATGTGTTGACCTTGATAGAAGGCCATCACTATCGCTTCAGGTTCCACGACTGACATAAAACGTGCTGTCTTTCTCCTGCCAAACTAGTTCTCCCCAACAGACACTTGTATTTCCATTCATTGCTTTACTGCTCTCTAAAATATGCAAGTTCAAAAGAAAAGAATTAGCTTTATCTTTTTCCCTCTCTTCATTGCTCAAAGTCATCAGTCTCTACAATCTGTTGATTTTTTCCTGAGGTCATGGTTCACATATTCATCCATTTCTTTCAAATACCACAGCTTCCATAAGATTGAGGTACACAGTTCCTTATGTGTTGGACTGCTTGCTGTCTGAACCTCAAGAGAGACCTGTCTCTGGGTGCTTAGCCCTGCAGTGTATTTTGAAACCCGGAACCAGATTTCAGTTTTTTGAAATAATGTGTTAATGATCATCACCATAACCTCCTGATTCATTTCTTGCTTCCCTATTTTAGCGGTGTTAAATGGGGCTCACACTGAGCCCCACACCTAATAATAATATAGCAGTTTATTTAGTGCCTTGTCTGTGCTAGGTAGTGTGCAAAGCACTATATATGTATTATTTAATTTTACAAATGATTCTATGAGCTAGGCATTATTATTATCTCTATTTTATAGATGGGAAAACAGAGATTAAGCTACTTGGCCAAAGTCATACAGCAGGTAGATGGCAAAGTCTGATTAGCGCTCGGAACCATCTGACACCACAGGCCAAGTGTGACAGCCGGGTTTCCCTCCTCCCTTCCTTTTGTGAGGGAAAAGGCATGTGGGCTGATGGGCAGGGACCACCGAAAGCAGCAGACAAGGGAAGTGACACTAGGTGTGTAACTGTTCTTGAAAGAGACTTGGGGTTCACATGCATAAACTCAGCCCCTACATCTATACATCATAACATGGCAGTGCCACTTCCTCCTTCGTGACTACTTTTAGGCTTCAAGTTGCCAGTTTGTGATAGTTTTTTCTTCCTCAACCTCAAGATTGTCCTTGATGTTGGTCTTAAGTTGATTTCACTCTATCAAAAAATATTTTAGATGCAGTTCCCAAATGATCCTAGTCTCTATTCCTTACTTCCTATTGGCTCCTTTTCTTGTTTCTAAAGTCTAGCCTTATCTCCCACTATATAAATGCAACCCTTGCCTAGCCATGCTGCTCTACTAATTATGTCTGAGCATGCTCTGTTCACGATAATAATGATGGCAGTGATGAATAGAGATACCTTATTCATTCATTCATTCAATTGTAGGCTCCTGCTCAGTGACCCCTGGGCCCTGGCATGGTCCCTAACAGGTAAGGAGGAAGGATAGCTTAATGACTGAGAGCATGAGCTCTAGAATCTAGGTGCTCGGATGCAAATTTTGAGTCTGCCATTTAATTGTATGTGACCTTGGACAAGACACTTAAGTTCTTTGTGCATTATTTTCCTTATGTACAAAATGGTTGTAGTGAAGTAGTCACATCATACAGTTTAAGGATGAAATGATACAAGATAGCGAATCACTTAGTAAAGTTCCTGGCAAATACTAAATAAATACTTATTGTTGTTACCAGTTCTCAGTGAATATTTGTTGACTGCGTATTGACAGTCTAATCTGTAGTAAGCACTTTGCTATCTTTTTTACATATGTTATATAATGCTTACTATAACACTATGAGGTGGGTACTGTTATTATCCACATTTTATAGGAGAGGAAATGGAAACTTAGGTTAAATAATTTACTTGAGATCACATGGCTAACAAGCGGTATGCATTCAGGATTTGAACGTTTTCTGTTTGACTTCAGAACCTATGCTGCTTCCACCATAGGCCTCAGCTTTCACACAGGTGCTTTCCAGTCTTCTCTGCCTAAGCAAGTCATAGAGCATTCCTTGAACTTATTCAAGCACCCAAGAACATTTGTCCTGCTTCCCATATTAGGAATACATTCTTCCAACCTTGAGAACTTATACTGCTGTGTACATAGTTGATGATCATTGAGTGCTTAAATGAATGAATTGCTATCATTGTTTCTTACAAGGTAATTGTAAAGGACTACCCGTGATATCCTCATCAAATTAAAAAGGAAATTAATACTGGATAATAACTATATTTTCTTATTTATGATTTTTTTAATTGCCTATAGTCCTACAGAGCATATAAAAATGGAAGACCTGTTTTCTTAAGGACTAAAAAAATAACATGATGAACATATATTCACTTATGAATTTAAGAGATTTTCTTTATCCCGTTAGTCTGGAAGTTAAGAATACTGACTGTTGTAGAGATGTAAAAGTAGTCTTTATATATCTTTGCTTCCTTCTCTTCCCTCGGATAGAGTGTAGCAGTTACTCATTGAGCCAACTTAGGGATCCGACAATGAAGAAGACAGATAATGTATTTTAGTGGGAGGAGGCAGACATAAACAAGTAAACAAATAATTACAGACCGTGACAGCATCAGACACTTCGTAGTTTCCCATGATGGGGCGTTATCGGTGGTTGGAAAGTGGGCATCTGTGCTAGGTGTACAGGAAGCACCCTGGGCAGGGAGCGCCGTGCAAAGGGTGCATGCGCACGTCTTTCTGAAAGGGCACACACACATGTTTCTTATGTTTAGTTAGTCCCTGGTTTAACCATCTCATGCTTGGATGCAACATATGGCTTTTACTTTGTTGTTTAGCCACCTAGGTTCAAAGAGACTGTCAACAATAATGCTCTTCCTATGGCAAAACTAATAGCATCAAGCCATTTTCACAGGTGCTATGTTTCTTTTTTCCTCCTTTCTACTTCTCAGGATGAAATGGAGCCTAGAATCAAAGCAGCAATGGGTTTTCTCTATACCTGTAAAAGATTAGCTTTAGTCATCGGGGATGATGCAAGCAGGAAAAAAATGCACGAAAACAGAAATGGAGCCAACAAGGACAATTTCTGATTGTAATAGCCGGTTTCTGTTTCATATCACTGAGCAAGATGAGAAAGTTTTGCAGGGTTTTTTATAGGAACAGCTTCCACGGTACTGAAGGATGACCTCACCCTCGGTGCCCTTGCCAGGTGCTGAGCCCCACTGTGAAAACACAAGGTTGAATTTCAACATGAAACAAGCCAGAAGGATGGAATGACATTTTCAGGTGACAGTTGTGGTTCTATGGCCTATAATTAGCACCTCTTAACCCTCAAACTTGCCTTTTTCAGGCTGTGGAAGCTCAAATCCGCAGTTTTGGACAGACGCCGTCCCAGCTCCTCATAGAGCCCCACCCTCCCAGGGGCTCTGCCATGCAGGCGGTAAGTGCTGCTTTCACTCTTCTCGTTCCTTGCCTCTGTGAGACCAGGCCTGATGTTCATAACAGTCTGGTGGTACTCGAGATTCTCCACCACATCTGTGCCTATGCTCATGCAGTGCTTGTTAACCTGCTAACCACCCACAGAAAAACTCTGCATGCTCTCCCGGAGCCTTTGGGCAGGTAAACGTCGCTTCAGTTTCATCAGTGCATATTTTGTGTCACAGAATGGAAAGGTTTATAATTATCACAGATCCTCACTGTAGGGTGAAGACTCCAGGCATAGTAGCGATACGTTTTCTGGTTTGATCCCTGTTCGTTTCTAGATTAGTTTTGTCGCTGTGTTTATTCTTTACATCCCAAGGTGTGTTTCAGTATAGAAGTTTTAAAACTAATCCTCATAGGTAAGATATTATTGCTGAGGGTCAGGGACCTCAGAGGGAAATATGATGGTTTGGTGTACCACACCGCCCAAAGCTTAGTGGCATAAAACAGGGATTTCTATTTCTCATGATTGTGAGGGTTAGACGGCCATTGCTTCTGCTCTGCCCAACCCGGCTCCCTGACACACTGCTGTGGAGTAGCTGAGATGGCTGGACCCCTCTTTCCATGTGGTCTTTCATCATCAAGGAGGGAAGTTAGCCTAGGCCACGCCCACGGTGGGAACAGTGTTCCAGGAGAACACTTCTTTCTGCAAGACTTCGGGGGCTTGCTTTGGAACTCACACATCATTTTTGCCGTGTTCCATTGGTCAAAGCAAGTCAGAGGCCCGCCCAGAACCAGGAGTAGGGAAATGCATTCAAGCTGCAAAATAGTGCAGCCATTCTCCTTTTTATATAATAGTTCCCTGGAAATTTCAGGGGAGGAAATTCTTCAGTGATGAAACAAAAAACTCAGCACAATTAACCAATATTGAATTGCACGATAAAAATAATTTCTTTAAAAAACACACTGTAGGTATTATATTTTTTTCTTGAATTGTCCCTCAATAAAACAGGTTGCTCACTACTGTTTCAAATTAAGAATAGGAAGTATAAAATCTGTTTCCGTAAATATAATGAACAATTTGAAATAGATTCTGATTCCATATGTTGTCGCTTAGAGATGGCAGAGCTTTGACAGACACTGGTAAGGCGGGAGTAGCACCCAAGAGGGGGAGAGAGAGAGACGTGGCCTTTTCTCCCTGCAGCGCGTTCTTCCTTGCTCCTCTTTGTGTCTGTTTTCCCTTCTGCCCTCTTCATCATCTTCTTCTGCCTCCCAAGCCTTTACCTTCTTTTTCTAGTCACATGAATTGGCCATCATAATAAACTGCAAGCATTTTAAAAATTATTTTATATCATCTTTTCCAAGCATTTTTAAACAGGTGAAATCAGATTTAAATGAACATAAAGGGTAACTTGAGCGAGCAGAAGACTACACAAAAAGCGAACAGTCAGCCAGAACCATGGAAGATAATGCCATAAAAGTAGTAAGAATGATTTATGTTTGAGGTTTGGAATTGGTTTTAGTAATAGCGTGTCAGTGAGACTCCGGCTGTTGTGGGGCTGGCTAATGGAAGCACCTCTGCTGCTCCAGTGACTTCCTACCTGGGTCACTGCACAGCCGTGGTCACTGGGGCAGTGAGGGAGTCCCCACGCCCCGCCTCCCTCCCTGGCAGAAGGATTGATGCTGGCTCATCCAGGCAGATCAGCTTTACTGTCCCTGGGGTGGGACGGCTGGGAAGGCACATGCTCACGTGAGGATGGGAGGCTGTCTTTCCCATTATCTTTATCCACTGAATTGAAAACCTGAACTCCTTTCAGACTTGCACAAATTGTGGTTTTCATCTCACACATACAAGGGTGGGGAAGAAAAGTGTGTTCGAAAGAAACCAGAGATGTCAACAAGTGTATACTTAATCTGGGAAAACCGTATGAAATTTGGCTAGCGCTTTCCTACTTCTGCCTCAGACTTGGCTCCCAGGGGCGCCCAGGATTAGAGGAGGGTCTGTTTCTCTTATCCCTTGTTTACCAGCCATCCTGCTCATCTGCAGCGGTTGCCATCCCCGTAGACTCGCCCAATATGCTGGACGTGGTTTTTCCCATTCCTAGCGCTCCTATCCCACACTGACTGGCCAAGGGTCTGATGGCGCTTCCAAGAGTTTCGTTTCCTGCTACTCGCCTGCACTGGGAGCTCCAGTCAGGATGGACCCGGTGGGGATAGGCAGGCAGGCAGGACAGCTTGATGGAAGAGTGCGGAGGACAGCTCTGGACGTGGCGTCCGCAGCTCTGTGCAGAGTGGCTCGTCTTTGCCTGGTGGCGAAGTGCTGGCGCACTAGAGTCACTATGTAAACAAGACATTCTTCCAGCACATTAGAGATTTTTCCGGGATTTTTTTAAGGACATAAACATTGGAATTATTCAATTTGAGTCTAATTGTATTTACAGTATGAGCTGTTAAGCTCAAAAATATGTATCAACTTCCTCACAGTAAGAATTTATGACGTATGTTATACTCTGACTTTCTCAGAGTGTCTAAATTGACTTTAGTAAATATTATTTTTTTAAAAAAACCCACGTAATTGAAAAATAAAGCTTGGTACTCTGAAATTATGTTCATTTCCTCTTCCCAGGACTTCTTCTTAGCTATGATAGCTTGTAGGATATTTTGTTTGATGTTGCTCATTGTTTCTCATTTCTAGTCAGTTTCCCAGAATTCCTTAAAACTGTATCAAAGGTCCTTTGTATGACAGAGATTACTTACTGGTATCAGGGGTTTTAAAAATAGAAGGTCCAAATGTTTATTGTTCTTACTGCCATTCAGATGAGTTCCCCCATCCACCATCAGTGCACCCCACCATACACACACACACACACACACACACACACACACACACGAATATAGCAGAAATTAAAGCCACCTCGTGCTGCGTTAAGCGCATGAGCCATAATATACACCAGGTGTAGTAATTAGCAGGCACACGGAGGCTGCCTATTTGTCTGGTTTTGCTGCTGTTGCTGTATCCCCCTGTGTTTTCACACCATCAGATAGTTGGATTTAATTGAGGCCACATCAGATGAGGCATTACTGACACCTTTAATTGAATGAGCATCCAGGGAGGATTAACTCATAATATTGATTGGCTTTTAGCCACTTGCTCAGAAGGGTGTCTGGGTAGCTTATTAGTTGCCTTTATTTACACCTTTATGCAAAGAGTGCAAATAGGAATTCTTAGTGCAATATGTTTTTCTAAGTACTCTTAATAACTTTTTTAAAAGGACTGATAATAAAAATGCAAATGTATTTAATTTTTTATTAGCAGTTCTGAGTAAATACATGTTAAATATATGTGTTTGCACATTTACATATACCTGGTGCTGTGAATTATGGCAGGAGTAAAGCAGCCAGGAGCTCTTCATCACAGTGTTTCGATTCCAAATGATACTAATCAGCTATTAGAAAATAGACATGGTAGGAGAGAATTGCTGAAAATGTGCAGTGCAATTACTGTATGGTATCATACCACCACGAAGTATAAATAAAACCAGTACATCAGTGTGGCGTTATATATGTCTTGGATTATGATATATGGGCTGTAGGGATGTTCTAAATCCTTGATAGTCTTCAAGATTTATTGTGTTGCTAGTTATTAGAATAGACAGTGTATTATTTAACATTTTTAATTACTTTCTGCTTTTCAAAAGAGATTATGTCTTGAGCTTTAGTTTTTTTACCAAGAGGGACGAGGAGCAGCTAGGCCTTTTTATCCTTAGATACAGCAGGAAGCAGTGGCATTTGCATTAGGATAGGGCAGTGTTTATGACTTGGTGCACTATATAAATATATTGTTTTTACAAGTACATTTAATTATGCATTGCTTTGAAACACCTTTATAATTAAGTTTGCATATTACATTCATAAGTTATTTCTCTACTGTAATAAAGCATGCATGTTGTATAACTATTGTTTATAAATATGTTTGCTTTAATTATCTCTTTATTTAGTTGTCAAAATCTTCATGTAACTCATCACAACTTTTGATGATCTTCGGAAATTACCTCAGCTTCCTTTTGTGCCTATTGTCAGTGCTCATTCTTTTTTATTTTTTATTCGACACGTAATAGCAATTCATATTGCTTAATGCAATTCCCCCCAATAGTTTGCCTATTTAGAATGGAAATCAAAGCATTCTTTTCGTTCTTCATGGGAGTGGGATGGGGATGGAGCCAACAAAATGTATTGATTTTTGAAGTGTTTCTGTTCATGTATTCTCCTCCGTTCACCAAAATATTCAGCTACCGATGTGCATGAAAAACAGGCACACCTAACGGCCGTGTCTGTGCGCCTTTCTGCTCACTCACTCTCACTTGCAACTTGTGTTAACATGGCTCTCTCTTCTTTTCCTGCGCCCTGTGTCTCTCGTCTTTCTTTGTCTTTTTCTTCTTGTCTATTTGCGTCTCGTCATGTCCACTCAATAGTATCTCCTCCTGCAGAGCCCATTGATGTTCACAGACCAAGCCCAGCAGGATGTCATCATGGTCCTGAAGTTCCCTTCTAACTCCCCTGTCACCCACGTGGCAGCCAACACCCAGCCCGGCCTGCTGACCCCTGCCGTGATCACGGTCACTGCTAACAGGCTGTTCGCCGTGAACAAGTGGCACAACCTTCCCGGTAAGTGAAGGAATGATCACTACAAGGCGTGGTGACTGCCGAACACTGTGTGAAGATATTGTAATATCCATGTACATATATCTCAGCAATTAAGCTTTTTAATTTTCAAGCATGGTCTGAATCAAAATGTTTACTGGTTTGAAAGGCTTAAAGAAGTCCCATCTGAGGTATAAAACACAAATGTTAAAACATAAACTATTCTGTAGCATCTGGTGGTTTGTCTTTATTCCCAGGAGATAAATATTATTTCTAATATTTTAATGATATTTTATACTGTGTCCATAAACAGCATGTACTTATGGATCATTTGGTCCCCTTTTTCCACTTACTCGTTCATTTACTCAGTAAACACTTCTGATTGTCTACTGTATGCCGTTTGGTGCTTGGTATGGTGGTATTTGTTGTGGATGATAGGAAAAACTTAAATTACACTGCCCAAATCCTGCAGACCCATAAAATAAGTACACTCTGCTTTTCCACTAAGTGCTGAATAGTCATGGTAACTAATGGCAAGATACTAAAATAACCATTAGAATCATAAACCATCAAAGTCTGAAAAGACATGATAGTTCGCCTAGTCCAGCCCCACTCTTTACCCATGAAGACGTTGAGCACCAGGGCGCTTGCCTTGTTGGGTCGCTGCTACACATGGCCAGGCAGGGGTGGAGCCACATCGGAACCCAAGTTTTCCAACTCAGATTTTATGATCAGATTTTATGATCAGTCTTCTGTGATTTATTGTCTCTCATTAGAATGGGAATGTTAGGTTCTGGATTTAGCACTGGGTTTTTTTTTTGCCACTAGTTAGAAATATATTTTTTTAAGAAAGCTAATCTTTTTAAGTCCTGGAGATTATAGATTTTTTTGCTAAGCAATTGTTTAGATGGGGAGTTTTTTAAAAAAAATAGATTTTAATCATCTGTTAACTTGTCATTAAACCTGTAAAGTGTGGATAAAGCACTGCTCATTATAATACCTGAAACAGTTGCAAAAAAAAATACAGTCTTGAACAGGAGCCTCATGCTAAATTAAATGGAAGAGGTTTTAGAATGGAACAGAATTGACTTGTTCAACCAAAAACTTGTGCACGTGTTATACTCAGTGAGGCACCCACGATGAACACTCTGTGGCTGATGTCAGAATGTATTAGATACAGCCATTTTCCTGGCCATTAGAAATGAAACAGATGCCAGAATTTGATTAGCGAGTAGATCTCAGAAACAGTGGAGAAGGTAAAAATTGAGACAGGCATATAACGTCTCTAGTATTAGGTCCTTTTATTCCTTTTTCTTCAAGTGAACTTATCTTATAGAGGTAAATGTATATGCAGATGATATACTTATATTATGGAACTAAAGATCATAATTTGATTAGCAAATGTGATTTGTTTTGGATTGTCTAAATACCACTTGTTAGAAGAAAAATGTACTGGTGGTGTTTTCTGTCACATACACTAGAGGATTTGTCTACTTTTTGTGTCATTACCCTTAGAGCTTGGCGAAAGCACCAGCGTGCATGGCATCATGGCCACCATGATGCTTCTCCTAGGCAGCTGTTTGTGGCAGCTCTGAGAACTTCTTCAATTTAAACAGAGTGAGGAGAGACAAACCTTTTCAACTGCTAGAAAGCCCTGACCGCCCTCCACCCCCTCTCTTCAGTTTAGCTTAGCACAGAGCTAGCGGGAACTGAACTGGCTCAGCCGGAGCGCCACTAGGGCTGCAGCTGATCGTCATGCTGGAGGCACACTCACTAAGCCCTGAGACCCGAGCTCCTGACTCTCCCCTTTGGAGCAAGCCCATTTTCCTGCTAGACAGCTTGCTTCCCCTAGGGCTTGGCTGTCAGGTGTTCTTTTTCCCACTTCCAGTTTATATATGAGGTCGGACAATTAAGTTCACAAACTCATCTTAGCAAAAGTGCTACATACCTCATTGCTGAGTATCACTACAGTCACCCTCGAAGTGCTCCCCTTGGGAAGCTATGCACCGACACCAGTGCCTAGTCTACCCTTCAAAGCAATTTGGGGAACTCTTTCTCTGGAATGGCCATCAGAGCTGT